ACACACACACACACACACACACACATGTGTGTGTGTGTGTGTGTGTGTGTGTGTGTGTGCGTGTGTGTGTGTGTGCGTGTGTGCGTGTGTGCGTGAGAGCATGGGGAGGATGAGCAAGCTACATATGAGCAAGCTATATATGAGCAAACGACATAGATCCATCCAATGGTGGGGAGGCATTTCAGGTGACCGTCTCCTCCTCTTCAACTGACGGTGTTCGTGTGTCGCTGTCGTTGACAGCTGGGTAGTCGCTTCCGCTCAATGCGCCCTGAATATGCACACACACACACACATGGAGACGTGAACCAGACACAAATACAAAAGTCAAATACACACACATTCACACACACGCACACACACACACGCACACACACACGCACTCACTCACACACACACACACACACTCACACACACCTTGATCAATGCGTCGAGTGTGTGTGCCAGCAGCGGGGTGTGTTCGCAGATGCTGAATTGCGTCTCCTCCTCGTTGGCCGCAGTGGGCTGCGCTGCCAACCTGCCAGCCAATGCGCGCGCGCGTGTGTGTGTGTGCAGGTGTGTGCAGGTGTGTGCGCACGTGTGTGTGCATGCGTGTGCATGTGCGAAGATGAGTATGAACGGCAATCCAGACGATGAATATGAAGAGCAGCAAAGGTGCAATTGCTAACCCCCCCCCAAATCCCAGTCCCCGTTGCGACGTGATGTGCACGCGAGCGACTGACTTGAAGATGTCGTGTGATGTGCGGCCATCGGAGGCGCGGCCGGCGTACGGGAGCAGCAGTCGTGGCAGCTGCACCCATGTCAACACACATGCGTACCACAACACGGGTCAATGCAAAACAATGAGCAGCGCATGCAGACCAGCACGCACAGACAGAGAGCGAGAGAGACAGAGACAGAGACAGAGGCAGAGACAGACAGACACACACATACACGCACGCACGTCTGTTGAGCCCATCTCACCCGGCGTTGCCGCTCTGTGCATCGCCCCTCAAACAGCAAATCCGTCACTTCGTCCATGGGCAGCTTGTCCTTCTCGTATCGCAGCACAAACAGCAGCACAAGCCTGTCACGTGACACATTAGTGGTTGAATGAGTGTGTCGCGTGGGTAAGGCGCGTGAGAGAACGCGTGCGTATGCATATGTACATGTGTGTGTGTGTGTGTGTGTGTGTGTGTGTGTGTGTGTGTGTGTGTGTGTGTGTGTGTGTGTGTGTGTGTGTGTGTGTGTGTGTGTGTGAGTGCGTGCGTGAGAGCCCATCACGTGCTCACCTCAACTTCTCTGATTTCCGGAACCGGCGGTCGTCCATAATCGCGCGCAGCGCCTGTGCACATGTGTACGCGCGTTCGTGTGTTCATGTGTCAGACAAAGGCGAGGGGCTGCATGTAGGCGGCAATGCCGCGGGTAAACGGAAATATGCGCACACCACATATCCAAAAGCGATGTGACCTGCACACACACAAACATACGTGTACAAACGACAGCGAGCAACCTTGAGAGCAGCCGCCTTGCGTCTGTTTGAGAGCATGTCGAGCTGTGCGTGGAAGATGCTGTCTTCGTCGGAATCGTGGAGGTGATATTCGTTGATGACCCGTCGCAGCTCCCCGGCCAACTTGAAGTGCTGATGGTCCGAGATGGAGGGGGGGGGGAGATGGTTGTGATGGGGGACAGGGTGGTGAGGAGGTGGCAAGCGACATGTATATGTGTGTGTGCATGTGCATGTGCATGTGTGTGTGTGTGTGTGTGTGTGTGCGGCTGTGTGTGTGTGTGTGTGTGTGTGTGTATGTGTGTGTGTGTGCATGTGTTCTCACCAGTGCGGCGACGTCACGTTGGGCCTTCAGCTTCGGCAGCTCGTTCACCAGCCCCTGATACCCAACACCAGCAGCACAGATGCAGCGGATTATATTGTGTAGGGGGTATTCGTGGTGCGTGAAGTTCTGTTGCAATGGCGCGGGGTTGAAGGCATGACACGCATGTCCGCACACACACACACACACATACACACACACCGCCATATCTTGAAGGCTGAGAGTCTTGATGCGATCATTGAGCTGCTGGTATTCATCGACAATCTTTGCAAACCGCTTGGCTGAGTCAAATAGCTGCACTCACACACACACACACACACACACACACACACACACACACACACACACACACACACACGTATTCACGCCACACAATCACACAAACGCATTCACGCATGTTGCATACAGTGTGTGAGGGGTGCGTTGTTGTGTTGAATAGAGGGGCGTGCAGCCAAGATGAGCAGTGGAAGCAACACGCATCACACCCATGCGTCATGCACGCAGCAGGCGTACCTGTGCGAAGAAGCTGTTGTGGCAGCCGCGGAGGAGGTGATCGTGTGCTGGAGAGAAGTTTGGCTCGTCAAGCTGCTTGTCCTTGAGACGGGAGCGGTCCACTTGATTCTTGACGAGCCCAAAGAAGTCGTGCACCATCGCACCGTACGTCCACTGACAGTGCCATATGGAGCCATTGCGGTGATGATACGATTGCGAAGATGGCGGCATTGGTCATAAGGACGGGCGTGCAAGGTGTCATGCAAGCCATGGCGGCGTAAGAAATAGTGCAACAAGTCAGGGCCAGCTCAACGCGAACAACGACAACAACTGCGAAGAACAACGACAACAACTGCGAACACCCATTAGCCATCACCACCACCGCTGTGACTCACGGGCAGGAGGAGCGGGGTGATTGGGTCTGCGCGCCTGTCGACAATGAGGACAACGGATTGCTGGTCCGGACGTCCACCACCACCGAGAATTGCACTCAACCGCTGAGCCACGGCCTCACACGCACTGGACCCGCCCTGGTACCTGCAGCACAGAGGCGATGTCAAGATGGCGGAGGGGGGACGGGTGCGTGTGTGTGTAAGAGGGCGTGTGTTCGAATGTGTAAGATAATGCATGCACACACACACACACACTCACACGCACACACACTCACACGCATACGTATACACACAAACACTCGCACGCATACGTACACGTCACGATTGCGTCACCTGATGACTGGGTTGAGCTTGAGGGACTGCACGACGCTGTAGAGCCCCGATGTCATCGACTGCATGGCACTGCCCTTGATCTGCACACACACGCACACACACACACATGTGGTGGATGCAGTGAGGACACGCATGCACGTACACACGTACACACGAACACACGTACACTCACGTGCACCCACACATGTGTTCCATGGCTGCACGAACCACTGCAAACGCCCAGCCATATCAGAGACACACAGCGAGCGTGCACAGTCAGGTACCATGTGTCGGGAGCTGAGGCAGCCCAGGGTGTTGGTGGTGAAGAGGTGCGAGTCGTGCGGCCAAAAGTCAATGTACAGCTCTTCAACCTGGCACGCGGACAGAGGGGCGTCACAAAAGTAAGTGCGTGCACCGTAGGTATTGTTGTCGCACCTGCACAAAGACAACACACACACACACACACACACACACACACACACACACACACACACACACACACACATAAATACAACACACACAGAGCCGCATACACACGTGTGCGCTCGCGTACCTCGTTGACAAGATTGTGTGCATCGGCCATGGCGAGGTCCTTCAGCTGATCCTCCGTGACAACATTGGAGAAGACTGCGTGAAACAGCAGCAGTGGATTGGGGCAGGTCGCAGTTAGAGGTCAAACAAGCAAAACAAAGACAAAGTTTCAACGGCAAAGAGGGTGAATACGGGTGTGGATGTTCACTCGTGCGATAGGGGAATGATAGAGACACATGGTAACGACGTACAGATGTTGTATTCGCGGTACTTTGGATCTGACAGCTCTGCGCGCAAGAAGTCCAAGTTTTCCTGTGCATGGATGAGGGTTGGAGGATCTATTAACAATAGCGACAATGCACAAAATTCAGTCCAGCCCACAAAGCAGCCACACCTGACACAAGTGTGCACCCTTGTCCTTGGCACACGTGGCACACGACACCTACACACATAAAGACAAACGCACACACACACATGACCAACACACACACACACACACACACACACACACACACACACACACACACGCACGCACGCACGCACCTGCGTTGGTCGAAGGATCATGATGCACGCGACCTCTGGCATCAGCTCTCGTTGTGAGGAGACTCGATCCAACTGGAACACCTGCCAAACCCGAGCATCACGCCAACAATCGATATCAACAACCAAGGTTGTTAGTCAGCACGCAGCAAACGCAGTGAGAGCACAGACCGAGTGCACCAAGCACACACACACACACACACACACACACACACATGCTCTGCAGGTTTGAACTGGACACGATTCCCCACTCGCAAGTCCCCCTTTGCGATGGATTACACACCTCCATCTCTTGCAGGGGCTGCCGCTTCCACCCCATGCTCATGCACACTGTATCAAACTGAGCAAGAGAGCACCAGCGTGAGGGGCAGAGGAAGGACTGGCTGCGGAGTTGCCACTGTGCTGGAGCGTGTGCAATGACATTGCCATTGCACGACTCACCACAAACATGCACGCACACAAGCTACGCACGCCACACATACTGCAACCACAGCACGCAGCACACAGTACGTAGTGGTTCCCAACCCCTCCCCCCGCCTTTTTCAGCGCTTACCATGGCATCGTCGAGCACAACGCCCTTGAGGCCTTTGACCTTGCGGCAGGCGTAGAACACAGCCGACTTGACGGCTCGCACCACATCCATATTGGCGCCGAAATGTGTGTGAAAATACAGCAAATCGCCAGCAACTACAACAACACTGAAGTCAGTCGTGAGGAGCGTTGTTTTGGTTGTGTGTGTGTGTGTGTGTGTGTGTGTGACGTGTTGAACCTTGCCACAACAATTTGGGTGATGTGAGATACGACGAACACACACACACACATCACCGCCCTTTTCAAAGTGGAGTGGCGTTTTACTCTCCTTGTTCCACAAAAGCCTTATGCGACACCAACCGCAAGCAAAACAACCAACTTACGGAACAACAAACAAAGCTAACACACGCACACACATACGACACCAAATTACACAACAAGCACACTCTTCTTCTTCCCTATGTTTCTTCGAAGACAACACCACAACGTCGTTAACATCACAGAGGCGCTCTTGCCGACACACAGAAAGGAGCTGCTGCTGACATACACACACACATACCCAACACACACTGCAACCAAAACACCCTGCAACAAAAACACCTACAACACACACCACCACCACCAACATCCAAGCACGTGCAACGATGAGGGCGGCGACTGCTGCTCCCTTCACCCGCATGCGCCCGCCTCCCGTGGTGCACCCGGATGTGTGCGCTTATCGGCGAGCGGGCATACCGATGTGTGTGCGCTTATCGGCGAGCGGGCATACCGCGGCCGCGGCCGGCAGGCATCATGCCTGGGTGGCCGCCGCCCTGCGCCTGGGCTCCGGCCTGCACAGCAAACACATTCACGGCACGTGGTGTGAGGTGACGTGAGGTGAGGTGAGAAATGGTGCCGGTGGGCGCCAGAAGAAGGCCGTTGGGTTGTGGGGGAGCAAAAGGGAGGGGGGGCGAGAGGAAGGCGTGACAAACGTGTGAGAACACAAGACAAAAACACAGCCAAACAACGCATACGCAGACGCAAAACCCGCACCACGTCCGACGTCGGTGCCTTGACCGTCTCGTCCACAGAGAGAACCATGCACGCGGCCTCAGAGGCAGCAGTGAGAGCGTTGATCTGCACGCAAGCAATCACACGCACAAACGAACACATGCATGTGTTAGCACAGCAGCGCATGACAGGCAACGAGCAATAAAGCCGAGCAATAAAGCACATGACATCCGAACACCGGTGGCACAACATGCGCTGGGCGTCGCGTGTGTTTACAACCGCCTTCACACCCACCACGCACACACCGCACACACCCACCACGGACACGCAACAACGCAATGAATGCGGTGGTGGTGCTCACCTTGACGATGGCTGGCTCCCAGACGGCGGCAGCAAAGTTGTCCGAGGCATCCTCCTTGTGCACATCAACACCGTACCAGCAGGGGCCTGAGCACGTGCCACATGAGGTGAGAGGGACGGACGGGGGAGGGGAAGAGGAAGAGGAATCGCGGGTTAGAGGCATTTGTTGGTTGGGCGGGTTGTCAAATGCGGGCGGCATTCGTTTTCCGGCAGACACAAACACACACACACATATGCACGCACACATGCACGCAAACAGCGTGGCGCACCTGCGGCGTGCTCGCGACGAAGCTTGTTGAGGATGTCCGTTGCGTCAAAGCCAGCGTTCTCGCACAGCTGTGGGAACAAGCGTTGGCCGTGACAGTGGGTGCATTCGTTCAGAGATAACTACAAACAAAAACAACACAAGACAAGTCCAACGCACACACACACACACACACACACACACACACACACAACAGCAACACAGCACATAACGGCACAGCCTGCCACCACGGCATGGAAAGTGGGCCGCACCTGGCGTGGGATGACCTCGAGGGCCTGGGAGAAGGCGGCAATGAGGAGCTGCTGCTTGCCGGGAATGGTGCGGGCATGGTCGCGCAGACGCTTGCTCAGCGCCATCTAAGAAAACACACACACACACACACACAAAAGCAAATTGGTGAGATCACGCTCGAGTGAGGTTGACACGGAGTCACACGCAACAACCGTCGTTCCCAACACCCAATTCACACGCACCCTTCACACGTACGCTTCATCTGCATCTGCTGCCCCTCGACACAACGCATAGCAACACAGCAACACAGCAACACACCTCGATAGCGCCGCCGCCCGCGACGACGGTGTCGTTCTTCATGGCGCGACGCACAATCATGATGGCGTCGTGCAGGGACCGCTCCGTCTCCTCAATAAACTGGGGCCAGCAACACACACACACACACACACACACACACACACACACACACACACACAAATACAGGGCGGGGTTAGGCAACACGCGTGACGACACGCAGGCAGCAGCGCACAGGGCAGTCAATGGGCAACAGGGGCGGATGGCTGACTTGGGCACCATCACAGAGCCGTTGACACACATGCACCAGGACACACACACACACACACACGCACATGACGCGCATACACACGCACATGACGCGTATCACATGCGCACCTGCTCAGCGCCACCACGAAGGATGATGGTGCAGGTCTTTGCCTTGGGGCAGCCTGTGAAGAAGTTGTAGCGCTCGCCGCCAACCTGGCGCTCCTTAAAGTGCTCGCAGCGGCCAAGCACGTCGTCCGTGAGGTTGTTCACAGACGTCTGGATGGACCCGCCTGTACACAGCAAACAAGACAGCGAGGGTTGGGAGGGGGGAAGAGATGCAGAGAACCACAATTAGTCTTGTTCTGGAAGGGGGGGGGGTGGAGGAGATTGGAAACATCGATGGGTCATGCCACCCGTCAAACCATCACCAGAAACACAACACCAAACTGGCTCTACTTCACCACCACCACAAACACGACCATGGCCATGGCTACCATCACCACTACCACCACTACCACCACCACCACCGTCACCACCACCACCACCAGCAGCAAACGGCCAAACGCACCGCAGGCCTTGCGGGTGCGCTGCATGTCGTCGTCTGGGACGCGGCCGGCGCAGAAGATGTCGCGGTCAGCAAACCACTGGGTGGCCACGTCGCCAATGGGCAGCTTGCTCAGCACAACCTTGGCCCCCGTGGCGTAGATCTTGTCAAGCTTCTCGTACAGAATCTCCCACTCCGCATCCACAACAGCCTGGTACTCCTTCACGTTCTCAATGCGAACCTCCGCATTCTCCTTCTCCTGCTCGCCAGAGTGTTTGTATGCGTGAGTATGTGTGAGTATGATGTGTGTGTGTGTGTGTGCATTTGAGTGTGAGCAACGACGATTTG